TCACGGAAGGCTTTCTCCGTTACTATAACTTTATCATTAGAAGATTTTAATAAAGACCTGCTAGTCCGCTAGCATCTATCGCTTCAGGATTATTGCAACTTTCATCCAGATCCATCGCTATATAACATCCTTAATTCGTGATGAGATACTACTTACAGAGTGATAATGACATTGTTGAACAACTGTAATGTCATCCAGATGCATTTGATAGATCATCTTTACTCATACAGATATTACAAGACAACTCACAACATCTTATTAAACAGCGATCAGAGGAAGACCATTCAACAGATGACACCTGATTTGTAATAAAACCTAGATAATTAACTAGAATCTATCAATATGACAACACCGGTATGAAAATGTCAATTCAAGAACGGAGCAAAAACAGATCCTAGGCAAGAATGAGAGCTTACAGCTTGGGCACACGTCAAATACATGTGTTAACATTGAGCATTTCATAGATATACTTATAAATACAGAGTGAAAAAAAAAACTAGTTCACCTACTAAACTACTAGTTCACCTTTTTGGACAACCTATCACGCAGTTCTTTGTTTAACTCATCATGTTTGGCCATCATGAGATTGCGGCAGTGATTGCTAAGATCGTCAACGCTTTCGAAACCAGATGGATCAATAGGAGGCAATATTTCAGCGATGCACTCTCCCGGGTCTAACCTCAGTTCAGCCTGAAAGTCATAACTCACTTAAGATTTTCTAATTGTCGAATATATAAATATTCGTATTTTTAGGCATACAATAAGGCTCTGAAAAGAATGCGAACAACAGGATAAAAATTAATTACGTGAAAATTCATTTTCTTCCTTTGAAAACACAATCAAGCTTCTTGTGATAATCAAAGTTGGACGGACGCAATGAAGGGAAGAGAGAGGGGAAGTCCGGAAAGAGGGCAAGGGAAGGTCGTACGGGAGGCCAAGGCTGCAAAAACGTCCAGCAAATAATATAGATAAACATAGTGATTATGCCTGACTCGTGAAAGTGATTTTACCGTAAGCTAAGATCACTAATCAGACAAACCATTATCCGTCGGGCCCGGACAATATAACCAGGATCAAGCGTCCACTTACACTAGCGCTCTCAACAACGTATTCACTTAACATTGGTCTCAGGGGACAAAACAGAAGACGTTATTCCAATTAAACTAACTATAATCACCAATATTTCTCACAGTGAAATTCTGCAGTTTTCTTAGCAACGAAACAAAATCATGTATTTTGAGCGGTAATGAATTTTTGAAATTCATTAGATAA